GCATTTCAGAATGCAACTCACAGTTTTGCTCAGCATTGTTCTCATGGGTGAAGAGTTTAAGGGATTGGGACAGAACGTTTAGAGACCAAGAAGTTTAGCGACCGAGAGGTGCGGCTGCATAACGCGTGAATTGCATTGAATATATCGATTTGATGATGATTTGTTATGTTGCTGCTGTGTCTGCTGTCCTTTGTGGACATTTTCAGACCTGACACAGAGAGATTTACTTTCCTTGCTGTTTTTTTCTTTGTCCAGTGTATCTTAGGCGTCGCTTTGTGGCGCTTAACCTCAATATTTGGTGAGCTTTTCCCTTCAGTTCGTTTTACTTTTACTCGGTTCTCATGTTTCGCTCTTTTGTTGCCTTGCCCCCACAGCAGCCCATCCAGACCCCGGCCAACCCTTTTCCCGATGCCTGCATCCGCTGCGTTGTCTCTGCCTGCTGTCTGCCGTTCTCCTCCTTGCCGCTTGTCTGGCTCGGTGCTATCTTTCTGTAGATTTATTGTGTGAATTGGCATTGACAAAGTGCATTGGATTGGTTCTTTTCTCTCTCTCTCTCTCTCTGCAATGCACTTCGTTGCCTGTGTTTCGTCTTCTTGTTCATGGCACATGCCGCAAGCCGCACACCGCACGCCGCACGCTGCATGCCGCATGCCACCCATACCCATCTCCATACCCCTTCGCACTCACTCGCTCGCTCACTCATTCTGCTTGGCTGTCGTTTTTAATGTGTTTTGATAACAATTCCATTAAAAGTGAAGAAGTTTATAATAATAATTTCGAGTAGCCGTGAGGCTGGATTGCCTGCCTGTAGCCGCCGATACCCTATAGCCTCTGCCCTTCAGGGCATTATAATTTCGTAGTGAGGAAAACCTTAACTTCAGCTGTGCACCGTGGTAGCCCTGAGTTCTACACAGATTCACAGGAGAGGGTATTCTGGGACATGCTTCGTGCCTTGGCTGCTCTTTTTGATTCAATTGATTGTTGTCAGTCCATCACATGGCATTGGACCAACGACCATATCTGTGCGCACAAATGCATGGCTCGTATGGAGTTTGGAGTATGGATAATATGGGCTAGGGTATGGGCGCATGGGCTGGGGTTCGACGTTGACCCAATATGCCATGTGCTTTATTGCAATCAATTTGCCCTCTTGTTTGTCAATTAGTTTTGAGTACTGGGTACGGGGTACGGGGTGTGGGAGTGTGATTCTGATTGTTAGTGCAGTTGTTGTTTCATTGTTTTATGCTGTTATTGGTGTTGCCGCTGCCACACGTCTGTAGCTGCCACTGCTGCTGGCATTTGAAGCCAAACAGCCAAACTTTTAATTGGCTGCATTATTTATTGTTTTTCACTTCGCCGAGCAACCACAAAATATTCTCTCCTCCAGGCCAGCAACTCTCCACCTACGGCACTCCGCTTTTACATGAATAATCATAATTGTTGCACTCTCAAAAGGCATTAAAGTTGTGTGTGCTTTAAGCTCGCTGTCTGCCATCTCTTCTCATCTTTCTCATTGTTCGCCAAAGCTGGCCAAGCTCCTAAATAATTGTATGAATACCAACAAACACTCATCCATGGAATAATCCACTAAACAATACTCGGAATAGGGCTTTGAAGTTGTTGTAATTAAAGAATTTCTCTTGGGATTATTGTGCAAAAAATGCAAACCAAACATGTAACTCTGGACGGGGAATTGATATTATCTTTTTAGAGTAAACAGCTGAAATATAGAAACATTTGGAAACTCTACAAATGTGCCAGGATTGAGCTTGCCATCAGCTGCACAAATTCGCAGCATCCCAAACTACTTGACAGGACTGAAGAAATAAACTAATTAATAATCAGAAAATATTACAACAGAGGAACTTCTCTTTTGTTGCATAATTTCTGCATATTTAATGGGCGCTCTTTGCAGTGACAAAAGGCAGACCATCGGAAGGAGAAGCAGGACAACGTGACTCAGGATGTTGCAAGTTTTTTTTTCACTCTATATTTTGTATGTGCAGAAATCTACAATTAAACGTACAAATTGCCATAGCAGTCGCATTGGTGTGCTTCAATTTCGTTTGCATCAAACATTTCCACACATTTGCAGGTGCACAAACAGAGAAGTAACAAGGTGGCATATGGAAGTGCCACAGCAACAACAAGTGCACACAACATCAGCAATGACAAAACCATCTATTAGGACACCCCCCCGGACACAGCTGCCGAGCGATTCACTGTTTGTAGAGCTTAAGGACGAGAAGAGACGATTCCAAAATGCCATAGAGCAGAGCGAAGTGAGTGCCACAAAGGGCTGTGTAGTAGTGTTTGTGTTTGTGTACTTATAATTATTTAACTCTTTTGCATGTTGGTACATACGGTTATAACCCTGCTCGTACCGCTACCATACCCAAACCTTGTGCGTTGCTAGCGCCAGATGAAGATTAATTATGCCAGAGGAAACATTCGTAACATTTTTCATGCTTAATATTGTAGCACAGCACGTGGAGTAAAACTAACTTATTAATAATAATAATTGTTTCATGTGCACAGAGTCCACGTCTATTTACACAGCAACCCCCGCCCTGAACATGTGTCACAAAAGGAAGATCCCACCCGGGTCGGGTCGGGCCGGGTCGGGTCGGAGGTCTGTTTTGAAAAATGATTTTTAGCGGCTTACGTCTGTGGCTTGTGGGGGTATGGTATGGGCCTGGGAACACCAAGAACTAGTTTAACCTTATTTACCAGCACACCCCAGCCCCTCTATAACGCTGCTGGACACTGCTTGACCAGAGAGCATGGGAAATAGAAGAGCCACAGGGAGAGGGTGAGAGCCGTTTCTAACGAATTTCGTATACACTATTCAGCTATTATTTATTTATTTGTTTTATTTGTGTTCATACTTATTATGGCTCCACCTTTGAATTAATTCAATTCGCTTAAACAATTATTTAATTTATATTTATTTATTTATTTATTTGTTTGTTCATTTTGCAATAAGTAGTTCCAGTATTAAGTTTCACTAGCCTTCATTTATCATCATCATTTGATGTCTCACGTGTACCGTGTATAACAACTCTCCTGATATTTCATATGGGCAGGTTAGAGTATTTATGCTCTGGAAAATCAACTCGTCGTCGTCGTGTGATGCTTGTTTCCATTTTGTTGTTCAACGACTTTTAACAACGGCTACCTGTTTAGGGTTTCTTGTTTTGTTTTATGTTTGGAATTCCATTGCGGGATCACTTAAGTGGCACCCGCTGATCCCTCGCTAAACCTGCGCGTGAACCCCACAGCGGAGACATTAATTTTATTGTTTTGACTGTTTGCGCCACGATCAGAATCTTTATTCTGGCTTAAAACATCTTGCGGTGGCTTGTCTTGGCCTCCTCTTCAGCTCTGTTTAGAGTTCTCTGCTCTGTCCAGCTATTGATAGTTCCAAATTAGGGTCAACTATGCGGTTAGCAGGGCGCTCCCCACTCCCACTCCCATTTCCATTTCCATTCTCATTCCCATTCCCATCTGCAGGTAGCAACATGATAGGCAGGGCTATCATCTGTTTTAATTACAAGTACCACGCCGGGAGTGGTTCTGGAGCAGCGCAGATTAGACCAGAGCCGAGCAGAGCACTAGATATCAGACCCTAAATGCTGATGCAGGTGTTTCCAAACAGTTTAAAAGGGATCTAATGGCCCCCACCGGAGACCCCACACACAGACACGCGTACACGTACAATCTTCAACGCGATGCTTTCAGAGGTGGGAAATGGGAGGAAAAACCAAATCAATTTTCTTCACACTGCTACGCGGTGAGATGTTGTTTCTCTTGATAGCATAAGAGTTGAATATGGGATGATAAATTATGGAAAATCGTACAGAAAACAAATATCTACAGACCCCATTCTCTATATTTTAGGGCCTCTGGTGTTTGAATCGATTTGATCGATAAAACTTGACACTTGGACCCTAAACATAATTATGTATCATATGGGAATGCTTTTCTTCTAAATTGATAGGATCATAAATGAATTCCAAGTCCTCCAAAGAGTTTTAATCCGAGCCCCTTGAAATATTATTGCAATGAAAATTTCGAAATTTGTTGAGTATCAACTGTGCGGCTCATTTAAACAGATGATGCTAAGAGATGAGTTCAGAGGTCACTCTTATAATCTATGATTCCGCTACTCAAATAACGATCCAGAAATAGAAAAGAACCATACACGTATCCTCTAACAAATAAACTTAAATATTTAGAGTCCCTGTTTGTAATGAAACAATTTTTAAAAGATGCCAAGAATGGAGTTTCCATCACTCATGTTTTGGTTTTTTTCTTCTTTATTTTTTATATGTTTTTTGTTGTTGTATTATTAATCACTTCTTAGACATTAGTTTTAGTTTTTAGTTGATTCTCGTTTGGTTTTGCTCATCGTTATACATGTACTAGAAAATATGAGTTATTTTTGGTTTTTGGTTTCCTTTTGGTTTTATTACTTTGTTTCACACTTGGAGTTTTTGTATATATACTGTGTGTTTGTGTGTGTGTGTGTGTGTGTAGTTGGTATAGGTGTATATAACGCATGCGTTTGTATATCCATTACACGAGTTATATATCAGTATCGGGTTTCGATTCTATACACTTTATAGGTTCTTTTGTTCTATATAGTTTTTCAGCTCTTCTTAAACATAGTAAATCTATGTGTTATAGGTATATGTGAGGGGGTGGTGTTTTTGTGGGTGGAGGGGTGGTTTTTCTTTGTGGTTACAATGGGGAGGGATCAAATAAAAGCTCTAACAAAGATGAACCATACAAAAGAGATACATTTTTATATATAAATATATAAGTATATGGGTGTAAGGAATACATGTATATAAATCTGTATGTCTAGGGTATAGGCAAAAGGTATATTATATATATAGGTTCAATGCATATATCGCATATAGAGGTGTATATATATGTATATGTATATCGATTTTATTCATTTTATCGCCAATTTACGAATATTGTTTTTTTTTTGCTGTTAATGTTTTTCTTTTTCGATCGTGTCTGTCTAACAATCTAGGTCTCTAAGTGTCTGTCTGTGAATGAATAGATAACTTGCTTCCCATATATCATATATATGAATGTATGTATGTGTGTATATATGCCATGATTACAGGTGTTTCCTTTTATATATTTTCGGGCTCATGCATCCAGAAGACCAAGTTATCATTTATAAGTCATTTGCTTTTTGGGCCATTATAATATTTGTTTTCTGTTTATAACAACAATTCTTTCAACATTTTTCAATATTACTTTGCTTCTTCTTTTAGGGTTATTATTTTATTTCTTTTTTTGTTTGGTTAGTTTGCTGGATTTGGAAGAGTTCCAGCTCCACAACGTGTTCATTATCAATACTTTATTCCCCAGCCCCCCTCCAGCGTACAGCATTCAGCAGTTTGTTGTTCGTTCTCTTTGGTTGCAATTGCTTTTCCTTGTCTCACACACAATACTCGCATTGTTGTAGCCCCATCCCTAATAGGGATAAAGGTTCTTGCGCTTCAGCTCCATGTCCAGGTCGGCCAATTGCTGCAGGAATCCATCATTGGGCCGAATATCGCGACGCATACGCACCGTGCGTATCGCATCCACCGCCGACATTTTGCGGCAAATCATCAGATAGGCCAGCACACAGGTGGCCGAACGGGACATCCCCACCAGGCAGTGTACCAGGATTTTGCCTATACAAATATTTAAAAACACATTAGTTCAAATGTATACCCAAAGGCGAGTGGGGTAATAAATGCACAGCCGCTGCAGGCCAACCGAGGTGCACTGCTGTACATTAACATTACCCCAAACGCTCCCCAATATCGATGGCCTGTACTCACCGCCGCTGCTGATGGCGCTGTCAATGAATTTGGAAGCCACATAGAAGTACCGCGAGATGTCTGTCGTGGGGGCGTCGATCATCGGGAAGCCCATGTACCTAAAAACACAGTCCTTATGGTTCCGTCTGTGGTACACAACACAACACAACACACACACAGCACACAGCACACCCCCACCGCCAAAACAGCAACAACACAGATGAGGCCAAAATCAAAATGAATGGCAAATGGAGATGGATGAATGGACGGACGGGATTGATATTCGAGGAGGCGGAGTAGAAAGAAAAGAATCAATGTTGAAATGTGTGCAGAAAGTGAAATTCAAATCAAAAACGATCTCAAAGTAAAACAAAATATGAACAAATTTTGAATTGGAAAACTGAATTGTTCCATTGTTCATGTTGTTGTCATTTCGTTGAAAGGATGGAAGACGCTTCGCGACTCACCTAATGCTGGGCATGTCCCGGTAGTAGCTGTGTCCGGTGTCCACCTGGCCATAGCGACAGCCCTCGGCGGCATTCAGGACATGCGTGATGCCCATCATTCTCAGATACGTCTTGTTCTTGGCCGCCGCACTAGCATAACATAAATTCGTCAGTGATTGTGTGAAACCTCAGAAAGATTGCACTTACGCATCGCCAATGTAGATGCCCGGATATACCTCGTCGCAGTCAACATCATGGATGGCGCATTCGGCCCGCCTCAGGCCGGGCAATGCCCGTGTGGGTGCCATCGAGTAGTGCAGGACACGCTGCAGCTGTCGTCCTGTGGTCTGTTCGGAGCTCTCCAAGCGGCTGGGCGACTGCAAAGATAAACCACAAAATATGAATGTGTATCGGGAAACGATTTCGTTTAATCATGCTTCAAGATTTGAACAAGGGTTTGTCTCACTTTTAGTACAAATAGAAGCATGGCGCTATGGCCTTTCGCTTAGGGGTACATTTGTGCAGCGAACTAACCTCATTATTCCCTTATAAATCTTTAACCTTTTGGCAGGACTATAATTATACCCGCCCGCTCATGACATCACAATCCCTGTGACAATTGCCAAAAAAAAAATTGAGTAAAAGAGAAAAGAAACGAAAATTAAAGTAAAAATGCTTGGGCAGCAGATTTATGGCAAAGGCGAAGGCCGCAATTTTTGTGTTGACAAATCAGACGGGTGGGGAGCAGAGGTCAGGGGTTTTTAGTATTTGCTGTGCTGTTTGGCATTTTTTCAGGGTCATCCAGGCCGTGAAAGTGAAAACTTGTACACATTGTAATACCCTCAAATACGAATACGAGTACGAGTATTTTGCTTTCAATCATTTTTAGATTTCATTTAATTTTCACTCGCTCTCGCTCTCGCTCTAGCTCTCTCTCTATCTTTGTTATTTTGTTGTCGTTCCCGGCTATCGACTGTCTAGCAGTTGTCATAATACAACAATCACTTCACATGTTTGGGGCCCACGTTTCGTGAAAACTTTTGCTTTTTCTGCCGGCATGCGACCCTGACAAGAACCTCCCGAAACGAGAAACAAGAAACAAGAAACAAGAAACGAAAATCAAATTAGAATTCAAAGCATCTGTCGTCTGCAAAATTTCCTAAAACTTTTGATCTATTGTGACGGATCTATCTCTCGTTTGCTAAACATATATCTCCTCCAATGTACGTATGCAAAATAGATCTAAATGGGGTATGCAAGGTGTGTGTGTGTTAATTATTCTAAATCTGTTGTCAGCCGTTGAAAGAAATCAAAATGCGTGCGTTGAATATTATTTTTAGCCTTCAGTTTCAACACTGATCAAGGAGCACACACAGACAACACAATTAAGTTAGCACAGCACTTTGGTTAGCAATTTAGCTTAGTTTTTGTTGGAGCAAACAAGCGGCACAGGCCACAACAAAACATATGTAGATTCTAAATCGATCCTATGTCGATCCTTCATGCTCTATGGTTCTGGGTGCGTGTTGAAAACAAACCTGATAATAGTGCGGACTATATCTATCGCCGATACTGCTGCTGTATCTGTCCGTTGAAAGCTGAAAACAAAAATCGATATGCAAACGCAAACAAATATTAAATATTATAAAAATAAGAAACAACTTATAACAACAAATGTTTAATTGATAATAAATTTACGAAAACTTTGAGAAGCTATTTTTCGACTAAAAAAGAAGAAATTGAAGCGAGTGTGAACCAATTTTCTGCCACGATTTAAGTTGTGGTAAGAATGAGTAAATATATGCTTGAGCTCAAAATTGTATCAACCAAATTCTTTATACTGAATTAATCAAGTGATAAACGACTTTCAAGACCAAGGAAATTGTCTTTATACGCAAGTAATCCAATATCGAAAATATCTGCTATAAAATGACATATAGATCTATGTATAGATCCCCACCAAGCTATAGACAATCATTCAGGTAGAAACGGAAATAGATAGAAGAAATGGTAAAAGCTTTGCTGTCGTGGCTGGCAGGTGAGACATCGCCCCCAAGTTCTCTGTGTCTTGGCTACTAGGCGACAATGCCTTGACCTTGTCCCGCTTGCTTTGCTTTTTTTATACGAATATCCATACAGATACACATATACCTATATCGTAGCAGTACCAGTACCAGTACCAGTAAGAACACGAGTACGATTTTATACCCCTGGCAGATAGATTACTCTCCCAAAGCAAACAAAAAACACCACACAACACACATCACTCTCCTCTCAGTGTCTTTCTCTGAAGCTAAAAATACCGTATAGAATAAATTACTCAGAAAACATAAGAGCACACACACACGCAAACACAAACAAGAAAATTATTCAAGAAAATGTATTGGAAACAAAATATTTGTTGTTTTTTTTTCCTTTTCTTGTATGACTCATCCCCCTCCCAACACTCTCCTCCCCAAGGGTACACATGACCCGCATGACAAGACAATTAGCTGGACACGACAGATACTTGGATCCCCAACAGCTCAAATCTGGGAGAACAAAAAATCGACAGAAAATGGGGGCTAAATAAAGTTAAGTAGAAAACATGATTGAAAATTTGAGAGCAACGTAAACGTCAGCATATGCATGTGTAAGATATTTGTATATATAATATAAACACCGAATATATAGAACGATGTTCGTGGGACCATTCCCAATGGGTGACTCGAGTGAATGACTGGGTGACTGACTGACCAACTGAGTGAATGACTCGTGTGTTGGCGAAAAATGCCAATGTAAACTGTTTTCGTATTTCTTATTATAGAAAAACAAGAAACATTTGCGACGACTCTCACCTCAAAGGTATGCCTGAAGGAATGAACGTTGTGAGGCGCGTTTAAGCGCGTCACTCCCTTTTGGCAAATTTAACATTTAATCGACCAAAAATCTCCCTAAAAAAAGGTTAAACTGTGAAAAGTTGATCTCAGAAGTTCAAGGACTGAACTCAGTCTTTTCTGAGAGATGCAGCAGTCATATTTCTGTAGTTTTTCCATCTGCCATTGATAAAAAGTCATAAGAAAATTAAGTCCAACATAGGAAATAATACAAAGGAACTGATGCAGATCTCGCAGACACTTATGATGAAATCCATCATACCATAATGAGCTTTGATCAACTTATAAAAAGTTGTCTTTGGCGCCCATCCAAGCCTAAGAGTTTAAACCGATTTCCATGTGGTTGTTATTTGATACATTTGCAGTAATGCGATGGTCTAGTCTTCCGTTCCGTTTTCTCTCCTATCCTCTCTGTGGTGGAACTTTCGTGGCCCTTTCTGCCACTTCCTGGCAGCGGGAAGCAGCATAAGCGAAAGCAACTGTGTCAGCCCACAGCCCAGAGGTCAAGCTTTGGGCTCAGCCACAACTGTTGCCACACTCAGCGAACGAATGGCTGGTTGGTGCAACCTGCAACACGTAACCTCCGCTGCGCTGCCCTGTGCTGCAACATGTGGAGAGGATGTGGGTCATGCGATTGTGGATTGAGCGGCTGATTGGAGTGGCTTGTGTGTGAGTGTGTGCCCAGTAGGACATCCAGCAATAATCAAAATCAGATTATGACATCATCAAGATGACTGCACTATGCATTATTCTCCCTGGTGTACAAGCTTCCTGCTAGTTACACTGGTTCTCTGGTGTGGCTTTACCCATAACGTGAACCAGTTGCGTCAAGTGGAAGGATACATCTCTGGGAAACTGTTAAGGGAAATGTTCATCAATGCAAGCAGACCATCATTCGCATGGAATCTTACACAAGAAGCTGTTTACTTACTGTCTAGGAGCTGTGTTTGGGGAGTTACCTCCCAATGGAGAGAATTCAAACACTTAATTCTTTCGAAACCAAACCCAAACATCTCCGATTCCCTTGTGTCGAGAGTCTTTTCGCTTAGGGGAATATTTTACAATTCCTAACATATTTTCCACTACTCTATTATCGACTAAATATTTTTGTTTACTCCTGCAAACATTTAATACAATTCTTTCAGTAATTTCTAAATTAATGTACAATTTTTCTCTTTGACTTCAAAATATCTGGAAATACTTCCAACCACATTAGAATTAACATTTTATCTCTTCTACTAAATGCATTCTTATGTACATTTATTCATTGGAGCATCTATGAAAATTGTATCGCAATTTACTTGCCTTTGGCCTTGGGGAACCAAAACAACAAAAATTCCACCAAAAATAGAAAAATAGAAAAACCGAAAAACGAAAAAAAGATTACACAAAAAAATCATTGCTCAAGTGTGAAAATTCTCAGCGTCCAAGTGTTGGAAAATCAAACCAAAAACGACAACAGCTAGAGCAACAATTAATGTACATTTGAACCAAATGAAAATTAACAAATTTACGAGTTCATTTTTGGCATTGATAAATCTATGTCTATATGCGTACATCTGACAGAATCACGTACATATATAGCTCTCTCTTTGCAAAATACGTATATGGATATATGCAGAATTCTGTTTTTTTTGGGGGGTGCACTCGAAAAATTCAAGTTGCATTGACATGCAAGTCAGTGGCAGAGTCAGAGGCACCTGCAGATTTTTATTGATTAAACAGTCAACGAACACAACCCTTTACCTCCAAGAAAAGTAAATGCAATTCCGAGACATTTATTAAACAAAGAGAGAGAGAGAAAGAGAACGAGAGACATTCCTGGTGTGATTTCCCAATGTGAGAACAAACTTTGGCAACGGCAAAAGGAATGAATAAATGTCTGATTCCCTCGGATTTAAGTTTTGCATTTTGCAAAAACAGAAACAGAAACAGAAACTGAGAACAAATAATTGCAAAAACTAAGTTTTCAAATTAATGCGCAATTCCTGTGCTTCTTAATTGGCCTTTTAAGGTGTGCAAAATGCAATGAATAATGTTACTTCGTACTCGGATAAATGCTCACCAGAACCCTCATCGAACGAACGAACGAACGAACGAACGACAATTTATGCAAATGAAATGCAAATCAGGCGATGGGACTGAAGGTTATGAATAGGGCGCATCCACACCCACCACCACTGGCAAGGAAACGATGAATGCTTTAAGGTAATGTATCTGCCGCAACTGGTAATGTGAGGCGATACTCGTTAAAAATGGTTCATTAAGAACAAACACCAATCAGAAAGGGCAAACTTGTGGTAGAGCTAATGCGGTGGCTGCTCTCCCACACTATGTTGAAATGCTTTAAAGTTGTGCAGTTTTAAACACATTAAAATGTACATACATAAGTGCAAGTGGCACGTAAGTGCCATTCATATTTATGTTTATTTTTAATTAACTTGTATCTCTTCTTTTATTTCTTGATTATATCTTCTTAGTTTCCCGTAAAAGCAACTTTTTACCCGATCGTTTAACGCTTTTCAATGCTCTAAGAAAAGATCTTACTAGCTTTGACCTTGAAACAGAACATGCCCACTTTGTTAACACAGTTTTGGGTCGAGTTTTTCCGCTCGCACCAAATGGGGAAACGCTTTCAAGTGCCCGCCAGCCAGCCATCGGCTGCTTCAAGCCACAGAGCGCAATGCCTTTCGCTTTTTTGCTCAATCAGGCGCAACAGCTGCGACAGCGACAGCGACACGCCCACAGCTTTGGATACAGATACAATATCTGTGGGCCCATCTGCAAATAGGAAACTAAAACTGAAAAGTGTACAATGCTCTATCGATTGTTCAATTAGCGCTCTCCATGGGCTTGACACTGAGCCAAAACAGAAACAGCAGCAGCAGCAGCAGCAGCAACAACAAGAAAATAAAATAAAGCGCAGTTGATGACATTGACATTTTAGCTAAGCTTTGTATGTATGTACATAAAATATATTATATACTTTGCAATCGCCATTACACGGAAGCTCCCTCCCCTCTTCGACCAGCAATTAATTTGAGGCGAGGTGATTTAAGGGGAGAGACATCAACTTAATACGCTTCAGTGACTCTGAATGAGGGTTTGGTGGTGCCCAGCGATTTAATTAATTCTCTATTATTATATTTATTTTTGCATTTGACCTTGAGATATTTTTGTAATAGGAGGATGCCACCTGGAAACAGGTGGGTTCCCTTCCCGTTTACCCATTGAAATATTCCCTTTATAATTAAGTTAATTGGCCCACGCAGCGTATGAGTAATCAGTGTGAGAGGCCAGCGGCCGGCAGTCCACAAAATCCGATTACCATTGATCCGGTCTTTGAGGTCAATCGAATACCGTGCAGCGTCACTAATTCGTTTCGTTTAGGGGTGGAACCTAGGCCCACCCCCATTTGGTGCCCCATTCAAATATTTACTTTGACATCCGTGCTATACATATTTTATATGAATGCCGAGGGGGTGCAAGGATAGAGCTTGAGACCCATAAAGTGTTGGAAAAAATCAATTTAGGTTCAGATTTTGGGGCAAAACTAAGCAAAACTATATGAGTTGTATCTACATAGCATCTACACATATGTATTTAGATGCTTATGACATTCCTCGCTCTTTATGTGCTTTTTGTATGGCCCGATTTAACCCTTCTTTCCTACAATTTCCTCCCTTAAAGCCACAATTTCATTATTTTAGTATCTAATTTCGTACAATTTTGTACTCTCTTTTATTTGACAGCGATTATCCTACGCAGAGGGGCTGTTGTACACCTTCAAGGCCATGCCCTGCAGTTTGCCACCTGAACCTTGGATAAGCTCCTCCTGAAATTTGGGCCACCGCCCAAGTGCAAATGTTAATGCCAAGAAGATAGCATCCTGATAAATGCCAGAAGACACAAAGATATTTAGTTATTTAGCGACCCACATGTTGGTGGGCTAGTGGGTTGATGGGCTGGCGGTTTTGGAGGCCGGGCTTCTGCCTGCCACGCCTTTAAAAGGCACTCGAACTTTTCATTTGCATTTGGAGGCCTTCAATGGGTTGGGGCGGGGTGTGGTATGGGGGCATGAGCATGGGGGCATGGGCATTGGCATGCCAAGGCCTCTCTCTCTCTTTCTCACTTTCGCTCACAGATTCTATTTTCCTCATTGCTTTTATTTCGGTGGTTTATGGGTGAAGTGTGTGTGGTTGGCAGCAAATTGGGTCAGCAGAGCAAACCACACACAAGCAAAGACAAAGCCAAAAACAATGTGAGAGAGAGAGGGAAAAGAAGAAGGCAAGTCAAGGTCATTCGGATGGTCCATTCCCCCATCATCATAGTCAAAAGCATCAAGAACATCGTCCTTGTCAACAGCTGTTTTTGACAGATGCCCAGAAAATGGAGCCCGAGTCCTCGAAAACTCAGCCCATCCTTTCATTCGCTCCACTCACTCATCCTTTGACAGTTAGCCAAAGGTAGTCAAGGTAGTCCTTGTTGAGAACTCCACCACACCCACTCGCTGTAGACATTGCAGCCTTCGTTTTGACTCTCATCTGCTCCACAAGGGCCATAAATGCAAGGTGCGGCTCCATGACCATGCGTTGCCCTTGATTAAGGGACACTTTTGGAAGGTCATTTTGAGTAGGTTGAAATTGGATTGCAAGACGTTAGCAGATGGGTATCATGCAATCGGTACAATCCGATTGTGGTACAAAAGGTCTCAAGAGAAGAGAGCAACTTGGAGAGGTCGATGTGAGATTTGTGTTCATTGTTTGTTTGCTTCTGGCATTCAAAGGCCTAAATCCCAGCCATTGCATTAATATGAATAAATGTTTCCGAATCGTCATTTGCCTGTCTCTGTGGTAATGTATACGATGGATAACATTATTCAATTGGATTTTAGCCAAAGGGTTCACCTTATTTCAAGCTTTCTTTGATCTTAATCGCTTATGTGCTCCTCTTCCTTGCTTCTTTCCCGTTACGAATTCTAGTTTTGGTTATTCTTCCAGCACTCCCACTCTACCATGGTTACTCTTCCTGCTCTCCCATGTCCCTGTGTGCCCACTCCAACCACTATCCTGTGTTCCTGCTCTCCCACTATCCTACAGTTATGTTTGCTGCACCTGCTCGCTCTCCCACTGATTTGTTACTCCTCTTGGAGCACTCCTAGCGTTGGGATTTCTGGGTTTCTAGGTCCAAACACCCCAACCCATTCAATTGTTGGTGTTTCCATTTCCATTCCCATTCCACGATCCCGTTATGATTGCTCTCTCTCTCTCTCTCTCATCCACACCCACTGCCATTCTCCTGTGTTTTTTTGTTTGTTTGCTTGGTTACTCCGTGGTGTGGGAGGGATCCCGTTATGCGCTACACCCCACTTTCCGCTTTTCGCTTCCCCCTTTCCACGCTTTCCACTTACCGCATATCTCCATGACATCTTTGTTGAGTGTGTGGGTGGGTGGGTGGGTGGGTGTGTGTGGGCGTGTGCTTGGTTTATGTGTCCTGCTATCCTGCTACCGCTCCTCTAGTGTGCGCCCAGCCCTCCTCTTGCCTTGTGCCTTGCGCCTCTCCTGTTCCTTGTACCTGTCACCGTTGCTCTCCACTCCTCTCCTTACCACTCGCTTCGTTTCGTTTCAGGGGGCAGGCTGGCGGCTGGCGGCTGTCGCGTGTGTGCGGCAGGGATTTGGTGTCTCGCGCTGGTTGCCTTTTGGTTGGAAAGTTAATTCATTTAAATAATAGGATCAAAGAGCAAACAAACAACAGCAACAGCAACAGCAGCAGCAGCAGCAGCAGCAGTGACGGTCGAATGACGTCGCCGAAAGGGATGTGGAGATGCTGATGGAGAAGGGGGAGGAGCAGGACAGAGGGGGTGTAGAAGAAGAGGCTCAGCATTCGTACATTTCTCGGTCGCCAACAACAACATCAACAACAACATCACTCTCTCACAATCACACACAAAAAAATAATATGCTTTATATATGGAGGGACCCACCACAGCAACAAAATCTTACTTTTTGTTTGTTGCAAAAATGAATTTTGTTTGTAAATTTATTTTATTTATAAATATATTTATTGCGATTTGATTTCGGACTTTTTGTTGATTTTTCGGGCCTTTACTTCTGCCTTTATTCTTTATTAGTTTGCTGGCGTTCTCTGGCGACGGATACTTTTTTGCGACTGATTCGCGATGCCGCTTTGGGGTTGTTTTGTAGGCGCCCGAAAGCGCTCTCTTGGCCTGGCTGTGACGTAGGCGACAAAAGCTCACGCTCACGCTCCCACTCCCGCTCAGACTTTGGCCGGAAAGGTATATTCCCCCATGGAGGTAAGGCAGAGTGCATTATCAGAGTCTGCCTGCAGCATCCGCTCTGAGGGGTGCGCAATTACGTAGTACCCAATAAATTGGCTTACCTTTTGGCACTCAAATCGGATGCTCATTCCCTCTCTCGATTGGAGGCGCGCACGTGGTGAGCGCTGATTTCTGTGTTGGAGGTAGGCATGTGGGTGTTGCCACACACACACACGCACACACACTGGCACCCACTTACGCATGTGTAAATATTTGTATATTTACATTTGAATTTGCGACTCACTCATTTACATATTTAATCGTTTAAGCCAAAATAGAGACACAGTTTTGAAAGAGAGAGAGGAACGTAGAGAGCGACTAAAAGCTTAAAGCTTTTCTAGGCAAAAGTTCTAGGGAACCCAGCAAACGATTCCACTAAAACAAAGAGAGGTAATATAGCAATGCAATCCGAACAATAGGTATAAGAATCAGTCTTTGAAAACTAATTTAAAGACAAATTTACCAGTCTCAAAAGACACAGAGCATTACAAGTGTGTAAACACTCAACAATTACAATTTTATGCGCTCCCTACACAGGATACACGGACTAACAAAATTCCATAGCAAATCTAGCAGGGCAGCCTGTTATTTTCCATGATCGAGACATAACAGTGGGCGGGAATATATCGTTGCTAAATGTACCAGAAACTTGACTCTAAAAAAAAAGACCTACCCCATCAAGAACCTTGATCACCATGTGATTCATAGACTCTCTTTGTCCATGAATTCGATTCACAATGCAAAAAAACAAACTTATATACGTATACGCTCTCTCACCCACACAATTTGTGACTGTGAGATGCGAAAATAGAATGCTAGACAGATCTCCAAAGACAGAGAGAGAGAGAGAGATACACAGGGAGATTAGGGAGCTTATCTCTTTTGGCTCACAAGTGATTCGCGTTCAAGTTCATTCGCACTTGCGAATGGATCTTGAATTTTGTCATTGTGCACCACCCACGATCCATGAGAGTCATCCAAACTAAGGCAATCTTTAATTAGGGCTAAGTTAAAGGACATTTATAACCAATTATTCCACATCCATAAGTATCTAATCTAATATCTAGTATAATCTTTAATTATGATGTTACAATTTCGTTATGATTGAAGTTTAAGATTGAAGTGTTTTCTGCATTCATAGCTGTAGGGCTTTAGTAAGCCAAAAACAGTGTTGCATATCGTGACAATTAAGTGTTTTAGGCATTCATAAGCAGTGCTTGATATCACAAAGTGAAAGACTTCTCTGATTTCAGTAAAGAATGTCGACATAACATCCCACGTTCTACTTTCTGTTGTTTTAGCATTCATAAACAGTGCCGAGTAAATGAGTATTTGATATTGAGTGTCATCCAGAGTGTGGTATCGTGAGTATTACATGTCTGAAGCATGTACAAGTCTGTTGGGGATTCAGTTAAGAGTGTTTCTAGTTCGCTATAACGAACGTCTCATGGCTTTCATAAGCAGCGTTGAATATTGCTGCAATTAAGTGTTACAAACCCCTAACCAGTGTTGTATATTGTGTTTATATTTAGCTCTTAACTTTGTTCCGTTCCGTTCACTGTTAGTATTTAGTGTTGCAGACATTCAACCAGTGTTGCGTTCATTAAGAAGTATGGGACAGTGTCAGGTGTAATGGAACGAGGTGCAAAGTAAAGCGTTTATGGAAGAGTGTTCGCCCCTTACTTGCCCAAGAGCAGGGCATCGGTCTGGAGCTCGGGCTTGTTTTTCTTTTTGGCGCCCGACAGCAGTTGCTTCAACTGGATGATGGCCCTGGCCGGATTGAGGTTCTTCGGGCAGGTATTGGTGCAGTTTAGGATGGTGTGGCAGCGATACAGCTTCCAGGGGTCCTGCAGGAAGCACAGCCGCTGATCGGTGGCCTCGTCCCGGGAGTCGATGACCCAGCGGTAGGCCTGCATGAGCACGGCCGGTCCCAGGTACTTGTCACTGTTCCACCAGTAGGAGGGGCACGAGGTCTGACAGCAGGCACACAGAATGCACTCGTACAGGCCATCCAGCTTGTTGCGATCCTCCAGGGACTGCAGATACTGCGCCTTGCCCATCTCGTTCTGTATATTCTTGCGCTGCAGCCAGGGCTGGATGGAGCGGTACTGGTCGTAGAACTGGCTCAGATCCGGCACCAGATCCCGCACTACATACAGATGCGGCAAGGGATAGATGCGGCACGGACTCCCCAGGCTCTGGTCAATGGGCGTGACACAGGCGAGGGTGTTGGTGCCATTGATGTTCATGGCACAGGAGCCACAGATGCCCTCGCGGCAGGAGCGGCGAAAGGTCAGTGTCTGGTCGACCTCGTTCTTGATCTTGATCAAAGCGTCCAGCACCATGGCGCCGCATTGCGACAAATCGATTTGATAGGTCTGCATCTGGGGCTGCTCTCCGGGCTGCCAGCGATAGACCTCAAAGTTCTTCACACGCTTCTCCAGGGGCTTGGGCTGTGGCGGTGGTGCTGCTGGGGGAGCTGGTGGTGGTGGTGGTGCGGCATCCTTTTTCTTCTCTGCAGCAGCTGGTGGCGCCTTTGGTGGCTCCTTCGGTGGAGCAGGCCCCTTGGCTGGTGGTGCCTTGTTGTCACCCCCTGCCGCTGCTGTTGCTGCCAACATAATGGGGCCTTCAGGTACTCTCACATCCGCCAACCAAATCGATGGCTGACGGCAAGCGACGGTTCCCATAAACTTCAACGCTGTCCGACTGCTCTGCAGCTGTAGCTGCCTGAGCAGCATAAACATCTGAAAATACCGAAATTCCAGCACAATTTTGCCACTATTTGGATTTAATTGAATGCTCACCCTACGCGTGCGTGCGTTTTTGTTTGTTCCACTTTCAAGTTTAGGATTAGACTGAGATATCAAATGGGTTGAGGCATAAGGTCAAATATGTGTGACATTCAAGGATTACTTGATTTATTTTTTGTTGACTTCCCCAAATACTTATTGTACAGAGAGGAGAATCTTGTTCCAATTGCCACACTTGAACTGTGTGTAATCCCCATTCGCAAGACAAATTCCAGGCATTATTCCCCCCCATCCAAGCAAATTCTTGTTAAGAAAAGAAATCAACAGCAAATCAATGCTTTGTCTGCTATTTCTGCACTTGTTGCAATTAAGTGGGGAACATGCTGTACGAGTGCGAGTGGGGCAATGTTAATGTTCGTGTCTGCACCAGAGAGACCCAAGACAACAAAAAACAACAAATAAAACTTCAACATATCTCTCACTCACTCACTCACCCGAGGAGGAGAAGGCGCATGGAGATCAGCGATCAACTGCATGGAGCCGAAGGGTGTTGGGTGTTGCGTTTGTGAGGGAAACTGAATGGAAACCAACTGTGAAAACGGTCTCCAGTAGCAGCCCCAGCAGCAGCAGCAGAAGGGCAAAAAGTCTATAAATATGCCAAACGCAAAATACTGTTTCAAGGGAAACCCAAAGAGCAGCAGTGCGGGCCATTGGTATTGGATGTTTTCTTTAAAAATAAAAAAACAACGTCTACCCCCAGCCAAAAAGAGAACTTGTCAGCAAGGAAAGCAAAAACTGTAAGGGGGAAAATTGTAAGAAAATGCAAGGAATGGGCCGTGGGCACATATTTTGCACTTTTATTTGTAATCTGCCAACGAAAACGCAGATACTTTGGAGCTCTCCTCTTTAAAAACGAATACAAATCAGGCTAAACTATGCCTCTTCTGTGGACGTGGACGTGGACGTGACGTGACAGCCACAAATCAGATGAAAGCACAAGCGGCAAGCCTTCAAGAGATTAACCAAAAGCCATAGCGACGAGCAGCTTCGTATTATGCTGCCACTTCCAGCTATAGCCAGATGCTGCTGCCCATTCCTAGCGATTCCATTCCTTTCCCCATTCAATTGGCGTGGAGCATCAGCATCCCAAACGAAAATAGCTGCAAAGAAGGAGCCAAGGAGAGACAATTAAAAGGCAATCCCAGCAATGCGCCTGTTTGCACCTGCCGTCCAGATATCACAGGCGACAAACGACATTTTCAACAATAAAAGAGCAAAGGGGAGAGTGAGAGAGAGAGAGGGGGGGGGGGGGGGTATAATTTACACTGCACAACATGATTGAGGCACTGCAGTTTATGGCATGGTTCAGGCAAGACAAATTTTGGAATATTCTAAATTTATGTTTAAGAAATTATATAGAAATCATTAGAATGGATTCCCTACTTCTTTGAGTACTTTGTTGTCTAGTGTTATTAAAAATAAATGCATCAACCAAAGACAGACAGTTGCTGCTAGTTGCAGCAAATTATGTTTGGGCTGCAGCGCATTGTCGAGGTGTCAGCGATGCTGGCTGACAATGTGGAGCAGCCCGTGCCTGCCTTAAGCCGCCGCTGACGTCCGAACAGGTGACAACGGTCCACGCACAGGCATTTCATGCCGAAACATTTCGTCATAGACGCGTGCTGGAATTAGCTTGGATTAGATGTGGATCCCATGCAGACATGCCAAGCCATGGGCGGACAGAGGCAGGGAGGCAGTCTATGATCCAGACGATAAACGATCCAACATTGCGGGGCGACAACTGTCCTTCCTGTTTTGCAGCCAGTAGTTAATTTGATTGCCAGCAATCTGGGTGTGCAGCAGTGCGATATAAAGTCGCCAAGATTTATGGCTTTTAAATTTTCATGTTGGGATCTTCTGTATCTGTCCGACTGATTGCTACTCTCCAACCAGAGCCCGGAGAGTCCAGAGCTCCCCACGAGCGGATGTACAAATCAATTGTCATTCCGTTTGGGTGGGACAGGGTAAGCGGCAAGTGAGATTATCAATTTCATTTTGATGCAATCGTAGCTCTGCTGACTCCTCTGTTGCCTCTCTATTCACTCTTTTAATGGCACTATCGATGAGTTGTTTATGTTTCTTTTTTATTGATTTCGCATACCAGAATCATACCAGAGCGAAATATTGTCCGTATCCAACGGTTTCGCGTAAGAGAATACTCTCTGAAACATTAGAAACATTGTGATCCTGAACCTTTTCCAAAATCCAAAAGAATTTTCAAGTGATGACAAAAAATAGTGTGGTTATAACGGAGAGTAATGTTTTAGAGGATAAGGAGAAGGAAGAAAAGATCTTAAATATAACGATATTATTGATGAATACAGGAGTACGGGAGAGCGTCTGAGAGGAGAGCATTTCTCCGACCGTTTAGACACAGGAGCGAATTTCCCTGACCATCACATGAAAAACTCAAATACAAATTTGTAAAATATTAGGTCATAAGGTATACAATCCAATAAAAGGGAGTATTTATAATAAGCCAAATTGTTACTTCAATGGGATTAAATTATTGTCTCTGTGTTAAAAGTCTTTTCCAGCTAGTAATATAGAAAAGAAAATCAAAATCGAGGAATATGATTTAAAACTACGGTATTTTTGGTATATTTGTAATATGAGAAGGTATATATATTTTCATGTATATTTTTGAGGGTCTGACGGTATATTCTATCAATAATTCTGCGGTCACACTGTGAGAAAAAAATGATGGTGGCAACAAAGTAGTATAACATAAATAAATAAAAATTTTGAGAGCGGGAAAAGTCGTTAAGTGATTTCAAAAAAAACTCCGCGAAGCATAAGTGGCAGACTCAGGTTTGCGGCGGCCGTCCCCCCACAAGGCACCAGGCTAGCATTTCGAACCCAAACCACGCTTAAGGACCAGATCATATGGAGAAGAAGACGAAGGATACACTGAGGAGATATAAGAAGTCCTCGCGCCACAATACCACGCACACGAGCAGCGAGAGCAGCAGCACCGAATCGGAGAGCGGCAGCAGCTCGTTCAGCAGCACCGACAGCGAGACGGGTCATGCGGCCAGCCATGGAGCTGTCCACCATGGACATCCGCATGGCCATCATCCGCGCTCCGCGGAGCGTCATCATCGCAAGAAGAAGAGCAGCAGGCGGGCGGCCAGCTCGTCGGGCGATGAGCAGCACCAGCGTCGCAAGCGGGACAAGCGCGATCATGTCCAAAAAAAGTTGGTGGCCAAACGGAATCACATCAAGCGAAAGCTGAAGGAGGCGCGACTCAAGAAGCGTGCCGCCGCCGCCCTGAGCGGACATGTCCATCGCTCGCTGTCGCCGGCCACACGCTCCAAGCTAAAGAAACTGGCAGAACGGAAGCGTTTGCGTGCCGCCAGCAAGGAGCAGCGGGAGCGCGAGAAGCTGCGAGCCGTGCAGCGGGATCGGGAGCGGGATCATCATCGCTTGGGCAGCAGTCGATCGCCACCGAGTTCATCCACCACGACCACAACGAAGATCCGAATTCATCAGGATGTGGTGGGCAGCAAGCGCCAGAAGAGCCCTGGCCTGGGGCCCAATGGCACCGGTGCCGGTGGCGGTCATCCTGGACCCGGTTCGTCGCGCATGCACCACCAGCTGATGTCGCGCGAGAAGATCATCATTCAGACGCGTGCCCGCGGACGCACTGCCTCCCTGGAGCGTGAGCGAGAACGAGAGCGGGACAGAGAGCGGGAGCGCGAGAGAGAGCGCCACGATCTGTCGCTGCGCGAAAGGGATCGTCGGGATCGGGACAGGGAGCGCGAGCGAGCGGAGAGAGAGGCGGCACGCGACAAGGAGCGCGCCGAGGCCCTGGCCCGTTGCCAGGAGCGACAGCGCGAGCGAGAGCGACTCGCACGCGAGAAACTGCGCCGCCAGGAGGAGGATGACGGCAAGCGAGGAAGTGGTGGTGGAATCGGTGGACGCGACCTCGACCTGCCGCCTTATGCCAGTCGTGAACGTTCCCTGGATGCTGTGGAACGAGAGCGCGGCGGTGGTCGCCACATCCGGGACAAGCGGGAGTTGGATCCGTACGAGCGCGAGCAGGAGTACATGGAGGAGCGGCATGGTCATGGCCATGGCCTGATCGATGAGATGCGTCGCTATCGTCGCCGCGAGCTCAGTCCCCTGCCCGAGCACTATGTGCCCCGACTGCGTGATCCACGCGATCTCTACTCCGAGGAGGAGCGCGAAAGGTAAGGCCCGACGGACAGGGGGACTGCCTCCGAACATTCTTTAATCTCATTTCATCTGCAGGGCCTACAAGCGGGCATTCATGGATGCGCGTTTCTCGTCGCGTGAACGCGAGGCCTGGCTCGAGGCGCGGGAGCTGAGGGAGCGTGAGCTGCAGGGACGCGACTATCGGGAGCTGGTGGAGCCCGAGGAGGTCCTCTATCCGGACGAGCGGGAGCGTGTGATTCGCGATCGTGAGCGTGAACGCGATCGGGAGCGAAATCTCGACAGAGAGCGCAATCTGGGGCCACGCGGCGAGTACCGGCCGGAGTGGGAGCGCGACTGGGATGATGATGGCAACAGTGGCGGCGGAGGCGGCGGTGGTGGAGGCGGCGGCAGTGGCACTCCCGGACGTCCCAGCGGCTTTGGGGCTGGCCCGAAGCGCGGCAAACCGCTGCCACATCCAGGCACTGGCCCACAGCAGGCGGCCCAGCAGCATCACTCCGCCTCGGAGCCGGACTGGGATGCGGATGAGCGGGAACGAGATCGTGAGAGAGAGCGCGAACGGGAACGAGAACGGGATCCCCGTGATGACAGAACGGACAATGGCAGCGTTGGTGCAGGCAGCGGCGGTGGCAGTGGCGGCGGTGTGGTCATCATCAAGAACGAACCCGCCTGGCTGGAGCACGATCAACGAGAAAAGCCACGCGCCTGGCAGCAGCAGCAGCAACAGCAGCCATCCAACTCTGGCGGGGATTGGCGCGACAACGATGAACCGTTTGGACGTAAAGGTGGCAGTGGCGGTGGTGGTGCCTCCAATGATGCTCCACAGCCACCCAACCATCCGCATCCCCCGTCGCCCCACCATCATGTGCATCCGCGTGGCGAACGCGGCTCTGGAAGAGGCTTCCGACGCGGCGGCCATGGCCATGGGGATCATGGAGAGTCTCGTGGTGGTCCCGGCTACAGGTCACATCCCCCACCATTGATGACGCTGCCTGTGCAGCCACCAGGTGGCTATCATGGTGCTGGCGGGGGCGGTGGCAGCTCTCGGGGATTTCCCCACAAGCGGATGCCGTATGGTGGCGGTGGACCCAACTGTGAACGTGGCGCCCCGCCCGGTTCTTCGTCGTTTCTCAAGAAGCACATCCATGTGCCGCTCGTGTCGCCCACACACCCCGCCCCGCTGCTGCAGTGTCAGGTGTCGGCGGCGGGTGGCAAGCCGCAGCCCGGCAATGCCGCTGCCGCACAGGCCAGCGCTGTGGCAGCCGCAACAACGGCGGTGGCAGCGGCCAAGGCGGCTGCCCAGAGTGCCGCCAATGCCACCACCAATCCGGGCATACTGGGCCAAGTGAGCGGCGGCAAACCGACGACCCACATCAAGCTGGAGGATGCGTCCGAGGACTCGGTGATGAGCACCCCAAGCCTGTGCACCCAGGACTCAGAGTCGCCCAATGGCTCGGCCAATGACAACGAGCTTGTGGGCTGCAGCACCATCAAGCAGGAGCCACGGCAGCCACCCGCACGAGAGCCAGAGGCGGAGGAGCTGAGCGAAATCAGCGACAGCGACGATGACATACTCAACACAACGGAGATCATTCTGGGCAGCAAGCCAACGACGAGCGCTAATGGTGTGCGGCCCAAGGACGAGCTGCAGCTGGATGGGGATCCATTGGCCGGCACACAGGAGCTCTCCACGGACACACTCTCTCCCAGCACAGCGGAGGAGGTGAAGAGCGAGAGTCCATCTTCAACTGCGACGACAACAGTAGGACTGAATGGGGGTACAATCGGTGGCAATATCAAGGTGGAGGAGGTCGATGAGGTGCTCGACTTTGAGGAGATATCCGACGGTGAGCTGGAGGAGGATGCACGCCACAAAGGTGAGAAGAGAATTTCCTTAGTTCCTGCCACAAATCTCTACATTTATTTGCATTCCTCAGGCATTGGTGATGCTTTGGGCGTGGACTGGCAGGGCCTGATAGCGGAGACCAGGCAGCAGGCGGAGCAATCGGCACAGCAGCAGGGCGCGGACAGAGGCACGTCGGCCAAGCAGCGTTGGCAGCCGCATCGTTTGATTCTGGACATGGGCATATCGTTTGGCATGGCCGGCGAGCAGTATGCACGTCGCGTCATGGAAGATGCCCGACAGCAGCTCATCCAGGAGAAGGAACAGTTGCGACTGGCCGAGGAGCAGGCCCTGCTGCAGCAGCAGCTGGCGGAGGAGCAGGCCGGAGATCTGGAGGATCTGCCCAACAAAAAGGAGGAGCCAGCCCTCAAGCGTGCCTCACCGCTGCACGACTATCGCGACATTCTGGCCACCGATCAACTGGCGCCCATGGCCTGCGTACAGCAGGGACTACGCGGCCTTGCCGCCGAGCGTCAGCGTCTGATGGGCAATGTCTGCGGACCGGGCAGCCGTGCGCTTTGCGCCCGCCAAGATCTTCGCCTGCGACGGCAGCTGTGTGGCCTGCCAGCACGCGAATGCGAATTCCCGCGCAACATGCCCGTGGTGGGGGAGGGACTGCGGCATCTGGCCATGCAGATGTTCCAGCGCAGCCTCGACGTCAAATGAGATCCGATGCGCAGGGAGTGTCAGCGCGCCAGGCCGCAGGCCGCACCCACCTACCAACTGGATGTGAAAATCTATGCTGGTGGCCAGCGCGAGCAGCAGCAGCAGCTGCACCGGAAACGCAAGTGGAAGTGGACAAGGCAGAACGAAGAATGAACTTGAATTACAATACAAAATTGTTCGAAATCACGAAATGAAATGAAAGGAACCAAACCGAACCCCCTTATATTATTCTTTCTTAGTTGTTAATAAAAATTTACTCTTGATGCATGCCTATTTCTACATATTTTGTTAGGTTTTTGGCTGTAATTTTCCCAAGTACATTTGAGTATATGAACCCCTAAGGACGATCCTCTACTATTTTGTATACCGAAGAGCAACATTAAGCAGCATCATACATCAGCATGTTCGTCTCAAGACCATAAGAGCTACAGCAACCAGTATCTAGACTGCTGTGATGTCAAGCACCTTAACAAGTTAGAACTGAAAAGAAACGATCAGACTCTGAACCAAAGAGAACACTTACTCTTGTATTTCCACGATAGCCCAATCTGGATCACAGCGGATAATCATTATTATAGTCAGAATCGAAAGATTTAACTGCAGTTGTCAGGCACCCCCTCCTCCTCGCGCTTACTCGTTCTCACACAACCCGCCCTGTGCCTCGCGAATAAGAGCGAAATGGCATGGTAAAAAGTGTGCGAAAAAAGAAAGAGACACACATGTAGTTAGCTGTAAGACGGCTGCTACTATCCTCAACAGGATGCTTCAAGTTTCTTTAAGAAATCCATACGGAAAGAACGGGCAAGCATAAATGGTTCACAATTAATTGTAAATTTAAGTACCAATTTCAGTCAATGGTTGGAAATTCAATTCGTTGATGTTGAGAGCCCAAATCGAATCATCAATCTGAACTCTCAGGGCTCATTGGTCTATTCCAATTTCATAATTTAATTCATGTACCTAATGGAACCCACAATCCTATCTTTTTGGCTTTTTGGTTTGTATCTTTCTCTGGTTAGTACCTTTCTGTTCTCCCCTTTTGTTGTTTTGTTTTCTTTACAAATAAATCACAATTTGAGGTGCGATTTTTTTGTTTTATTTTTTATTTGAATTATTATTGTTAATTTCTATTTAGTTTTATTTTTATTTTAATATTCTGTTCTTTGATCTTTCTCTTACGTCTCTCTAGCTATTACGCTTACGCGTACGCTCTCTCTCTCTCGCTCCTTCAATCATATCCTTTCGCATTGATGTTAGTAGTTTTTTTGCGTGTTGTTTTTGTTTAATTTTATTAAATTTTTTAACACTACAAGTAATTTGTTTAAAAGGCCAAAGAACAAATATGTTTTTGTTACTCTACTACATAGCTTCTTTTTCTCACTTTTACGCTCTGTATGTGCTCCTTACTCTTTCTCTCTCTCTCTTGCTCCTTACTTCTTCCTTCGTTATCTTTTGTCTAACTCTCAATTAAACGATGAGCTTTATCTCTCTTTCTCTCTCTGGCTCGTGTCTCATTCATTCTATTCTCTGTGTGTTAACATCTTACTAAACTCCACACAATTTTTGTGGTTGCCGGTAATTCATTTTAGTTTTTTTTTAGTTTCCATTTTTGAAACGTACTGTATTTTGTTTTTTTTTTGTTGAATATATTTGTAGTTTTTTGTGGATTTTTATACATCGATAAGTTTTTGTTTTTTCCCATTTTTTTTCAATGTTTTTGTTTTATTTTATATATTTTTTCTTTTTTGTTAATAATATTTATTTGCATACAGCTATGCATAAGGGTGTGTGTTGTGTTTGTGTGTGTGTGTGTGTGTGTGTGTATGTGAGGAGGTTGGGAGAATCAACGCTGGGCATTCTCTTTCCATTCCTTTTATTGTTCTCCTGCAAAATGCTCTCTTCCAGAGTGCATTTCTCTCTTGTTTTATATTTGTATTTTTTTTTGTGTTTGCATTTTAACTTTTCAATAAATACATATACCACAAATTGTTTGAAAATCATTCTGAAATTCAAAATTTGTGTTGTGTGCAATTGCCTGTCGCCTGTCCTGCCGCTCAATGGACATTTCTGTTTTCTGGTATTTGTTTCTCTGCTTTAGTTTTGTGTGTGTTTTGCTGTCCTCTACTGCTTCATCTGCTTCTGTTTTCGCTTCCTTTCTTTCTTTTGCTGTCGCTGCTGTTTTGCAACTGCTACTCCTCCTGGTGCTGCTGCTGCTTGGACTGCTGCTGGCAGCTGGCGATGTCAATTCAATGAGGGTGTATGCCATGGATCATGCCAATTGATCTCGATATTCGGCCACTTGGTCTGGAGGCATGTCACCATCGGGTTTGAGGCACAAATTGACTTCAGATCCCCCTCTAGTAGAATCGCCGATCCGCAATAGTAGCGCACCTGTAAAAAGTAATATTCAATTATATATAATGAACCTTTGCAACGATTTAACGAGAAGGAACATTGTGAGACGCGCTTGTACGCATCACAACTGTTGAAGGCGTTGACTCACAACGTTCCTTCTCGTTTTTGTTGCCATCAAACCGACTTTTTCTGAAGGAAAGCCTTATGCATCGACTCTAAGCACTTTGCAGATAAAGCTTCCAGAATTCAATACACAAAAAATGGTTTAAAAATATTTATGGGACCAAATCTATTGGAAAAAGTTGGTTTGATGTTGGGGATTGGTTGCTTCTTTGTTGGGTTTGGCTGTTGACTAGTGTTATAGGAGAGGTTGATTCATTGGATAAGTTTATACCGACCTTATTGTTGTCATTGGAGCCTGGTATGCCATTGTAGTGCATTAGCTCAAAGGTATCGGGTGCGGAATGTCGCTCGCATGGAAAGAATTCCTCCATGAATGCATTCAGCAATATGATGCCCAAATTCTCTGGATCCAAACGTTTCATCATGAGATTAACACTGTATGATGGTGGGGCAGGGGTGGGAGGGGAGACACACGCACATAAAAATGATAAATGAGAAACATTTGCATGGGGGAGAGCATTCGGATATTAATACTTACTATCCCGGTTCACTGACAAGGTTCAATTGGGCCAATACCTCCCGTAGCAGAGATGAGGCTATGAAGTTATTACCCTCCGGATCATAGGACTTGAATACGCGACGACCATGCTCTGAGGGTGTCTCCGGCGAGACGAGCTTCTTCTCATGGCTAAATAGCACTGCGGAAAGAGAACATAATGGACATTAGGCATAGTTTCAAATGTCAGGAAAGAGTTCTCTTCGTCGTACCAGTTAAATGCGTGTCTGAGCCCATCACCCAGACGGGATATCTGGGATTCTTGTAGAACGAACCCACTGTGCAGTAGCGCATCTGTTCCATTGTTGTTATATATCCAATGTCGCTCTGTTCGCAAATGCCTCTCAATTTTAAGCCGCCAACATCCTGTTCATGGTCCCACACATAGCCAACGGCACGACCCGTGAGCATTAGATTTATCATGGACTGGCCGCCATAGCCAAAGGTTCTGTGTATGATCGGCTCCGAGGTGTCCGATATGTCGGCGGCCACCAGCTCCATGCCCTTGGTAAGGAAAACCGAATACATGAAGAGCATTACGCCATAGGTGTCCGTCAGTTGGTTGTAGTGATCACTGAAGTAACGCGCCACTGTTGGACCATCGAGGAAATGCAGCGTATAGAGACGCGCATGGAACTCCTCGGGAGTCAGATCATGATCCGGATGATGCTCAGACGAGTCCTCTTCACCTTTATTGTCTTTCCCTGTTAGATGATCCACCGTTTCGGGTGTTGCCTCTTCGGCCTCCTCATCCACTTCATTCGCATTGGGTCCGCCACCGGCGCTTGCTCCTGCTCCAGCTCCAGCTGCTGCTGCTGCTGCTGCTGCTGTTCCCGATGTGGTGGCTCTCTCTTTGGTTGCCTGGTGGTCGCTGCTGATGCGATGTCGATGCAGCTGGACAAGACGATAGCGTGGAGCACGGCAATTCCGTAAAATATTGCACAGGGCCTGTATGAGTAGACGCTTGCACTCTGCTGGAGTTATCTGTGGAAGAGATGGATGAACGTACAGATGCATGGATGGGATACGCATTGGATAAGAGCATTTTTCAATTACCTCCGACAATCGAAACTCGTGGGTATCCATGGTAATTATCTTAAGCAAATACGCCTGAACTGGCGCTATCACAGCACAAGGGCCGCCCTGTTTTTGCACCAATGCCGACGGCTCATAATCACTAAACTCAAATCCTAAAACAAAAACAAAAAACAAAACAAATTAAATCGTAAAGAAAAGGGCGCGAAAAATAATTTGGGTTTTTTTTTTCTTTTCTTTTTTTGTATTTGCTTCTTGCATTTGTTGGGCGTTGAGTTGTGTGCAGTGGGGTTTTTTTTTTTTTTTTTTGGTTCGGTTTGGGTGGTGGGGGCTGGTGGGTGGTGCATGATTACCTTGAGACCAACGCTTGAATACATCTTCGCGCACATTATCGCCCCACAACAACTGCTTTATCTCGCGCAGTTCGCGCATATCATTTGCATTTAACTGCGGCATCGGCGGCAACTGCTGCTGCTGCTGTTGTGGTTTTTGTTTTGGGGTCTGCGGCCCGCCATCAGGAGTGGACGACGCCTGCTGCTGCTGATGATGGGCGGCCGATGTTGTGGGCGGCCCAGCACTTGTAGTGGGACGTTGTTCCTGCTGCTGCTGCTGCTGCTGTCCAGCAGCAGTTGCAGTGTCGTTCGGCTCCAAGGCTGCCGAGGCCAACGTCATCGATGTTGACGCTGATGCAGTTTTTTGCGAGGCAGATTTCTCGCTGGGTTCCCCTACGGTTTCCTCGTTCATGACGTTTTTATGTTTTGTGTGGATTGTGTGTGCTGCTGTTACTGCGCTTCTGCTGCTGCTGCTTGGGGCCTGTCGACTGTTTTAAAAGGGTTAACACACACACACACGAAAATGGTTTTCGTATGTATCGAAATGCAGTTAATGCCACTATTTTGTTGGCATTTCTGCCTTTTTTGTTTCGTTTTTCCTCTTTTGGCCGAGTGGGCTGCAAATGCAACAGTGTAGGGGCAGTGTGCCCAGAAACCAAAACTGTGGAAATACCATGCCGAATTTAATGAAAAATACATTCGGCAAGTCTTAAAAATACTCACTTTATTTCAACTAATCTTTAACAAAATGATGCTGTGGATATAGAACCACGAAGATGTTTGATTTAAATAGATTTGAAATGGGAATAGTCAA